CATTGATCTGCCTTCTTTGATCTCCCCAGGGTAATTTTTAAAGGGTCGTATTCGGGCATGACGTGGACTTAGTTCGAAGGTATGGCTAGCATAACCTCATCGTTATCGAGGAGTATCACTCAATATAGCAATTTCAGAAGCTCTCAGACTTCTCTGTTGAGCATGGCCATGACTGCGCTAACAACTCGCCGAGCTATAACGAAAGAAATACAGTACCAACTGTAGCAGGCTTGGAAAGTGTGGCGAACGTGATGAGACCCAACTTACTCAGAGCATTCTACATGTACATTACTCTAAACCAACACATACAGCTACAACAAATGCACCACAGCCATGATCTACTTTCCATCAACTGTATTACTGGTTACACTACATTCTCGAAAACGTGAATCCATATCAGCTCTATGAAAGGACACTATCAACTGTGCCTAGGTTGCTGAGAATAATTTCACTGCTTGCTCCATTCAGTCAAGCTTGCCCACACCGAAGTTATCAATCGTCTCGGCCCACACGTTCTCAATGTCGGTAGCCTGGATGGAGGATTGAGTCGTCTCAGATGAGGGTTTCGCCGTGCCAGGAGTGTAGTCCTGCTGCTCCGTCTGCTCCGCCGAGTCGCTTGATTGAGTGGTCTGTTGCTGCTGCTCTGAGTCGCTTGTCTGAGCAGAGCTCGACGTGTAGCCAACAAAGGTAAGGATCGTCTTAATGGTCTCGAGAGCAGTCTCACCGTTACGAGATGAGAAGTTGCCGCTGCTGACGAGCTCATTAGCCACGCACGAGCGACCGAGGAGGCTGCTGCACTGGTCGTCGCTACTGGCGGCGTACAGAGCACCTTCTTCGTCCTTGTTGTACAGAGGCATCCTGGTGTTGGTGAAGTAGTTGCCCTCGGCAAGAACCCAAGCGTTCGAGCCAATCTCGAAAGAGTGACCAGAGTTGTTACCCCAGCAGTTGTTGGCGACGTGGGCGACAACCTTCGCAGCGCTGTCACCGCCAATCTTAGGAGAACGACCAGAAGTGCCGTGGATGTAGTTGTTCAGCATACTGAACTTCGTCACACCGTAGAAGATGAACGACCAGTAATGGTGACCGTCGCACGAAGCCGAGTAGTCCGTGTTGCCGTCGAAGTCGGAGTTACTGATGGTCATCGAGTCGGTACTGGCCTTGTAGGTAGTGATGAACTGACGACCAACGCGAGAGATCTTGATGTGGTCGAGCCAAATATTTTTCATAGGCGTGGTGCTGTTATCGGTACCTTGAATGTAGATGGCATCTCCACCCCAAACGAGGTGGTGGTTGAGCTCCGTGATGTGGATGTTCTGTACGATGATGTTGTGGCCGTTGAGTGTCATGCCCTTGCCCATGATAACACCGCTTTTGCCAATGCCACGGATAGTCTTGTCGCCCTTAACAGTCATACGCTTCAGAGCTGCCCTGTCGTACGTTACCGTCGTCTCCGTACCGTTGTCACAGCCACCGGTGTTCGCCATACCGCCCTTCTGAAGAATCACATCTTGGCTCTTAAAGCCGTTGTTCTTGGCAATACATTCACGAGTGTACTGGGGACGACAGCCAGGTTCGGTGGTCGTTCCCTCGGTTCCACGGAAGTCGAAGGTCTTGTTCAGTACAACCACCAGTGGCTCTGAAGAGTTGAGATAAGTGATCAGCTCTTCATTCGTGGTAGGGTATACGACGGTGCCATTGCCTCCACCGGTGGTGCCGGCAGCAAGACCTTCGGGTGTACCGATAGTGAAGGCGCTTGCACTCTTAGCGACGAGGGCCAATGCAGCTGTCAAAGCGAAGTGGATGCGTCCCATACTTCAAAAGGTGGAGAGGTCTTGAGAAAGTGTAGTGCTCAAGGCGAGGCAAATTTGAGAATGACCGTTTGCTAACATTAGTTGATCGAGTTCGAGCCCACTGTACGGCCTGTTGGACCTTGTCCATGCGTACCAATGAAGCATCTTCAACTATTTACTTGAGGGGTTCCTTATAACTCCGCACCGGCGCTTTCTCACTTCCTAAATAACGGCTGAAAGATCTTGAGCAGAGCACGCTCCATTAGTCCTTGCGATGTCGTTTGCCACCATAAAAACCATACGCTGACCCGGTTGCTGGAGATGTGTGCGCGCAACGTTGACTCCACAAAGTTGACTGTAATGGGCGGCTGCTCGTCGCAAACGACGGCATGGTGAAGCAGGTCAGGTGATGAGTCCACGCGGGAGAATGTAACACGCTGGAGTCGGACCTGTCATCCCTTAAATTTTCTCTCGCTAAGTAATGAGGCGAATAATTGTATGTTTCTGACGTCTACTTATGCCAATAAGGGGATTGCTCATTTGTACGCTGGCTGATTGAATCAATCATTGTTGGCCAGATTGATCGTATCGTAGTGAGCTTAGTGTCGCCATCCGAATAAACAAGACAAGGTGAGCGTTAATGCACACACGTGGCACAGCAAATAATGCACAACTTGCTCTTTGATGTTTCCGTAGATGTTTGTCCATTGAACACGGTGTTAACTATTCGAGAACGGTCAGTATATACTTATTTTTCACAAAACAACCCAACCTATTGTTCGTGACAGTTTCGGCCTCTACGTTATCTTGAGATGGGTACCAGACGAAATCTCAGATCCAACTTCAAGGAATGCGCGACTAGCGTTTTAGATTTCCATAACTTGTATTAATTTAGAGAAACCTCTCACCATGATTACGTTTTCAGCTGTTTTCGCTGATCGCTCGCTGGGCGGCTCGTTGTCTAGCTGCAAATCCTGCGTTGCTGAAAATCCATGATGCGAAATGCACCCGTCGATTACAGGTATTAATTGGAAACGTCGTCGATTCGTCGATTGCTGTCTAGATCCCGCTTGATGCGAGACTCAGCATTAGTGCCTGCGAAGGACACCAGTTCCATGCTGCTCACACGTGAGAACGCCGCGAACTCTTCAATCACGTCGACCACCCAAATTGATTTTCAATCCTACCATGGAGGGAAAATAAGTTTACCTCGAACACACCACAATAAGTTTACCTCGTACACACCACATTTTCGTGAGGCTGTGTGTGTGTGTGTGTGTGTGGGGGGGGGGCGATGCCTACATATGTACCAGTTTGACAGCGCCAAATCGCATACAATCGATAAAGATGCAACGTCCCCGAAGTACCCACTGCGTATAACGCACCGTTCCGTGTCTTGCGATAAGGCGATCCTGTACATTCCCTCCATATCGTTTCCTGAAGCTTGATGAATTCAATAACCTTAGCAGTAATTTTCAAAGCTTTTGCAAAAATTTATTCCTCTTTCGAGCCCAATCAGACAATTACAATGTATTAATACTTGTAGCGGCAAAAAAAACTATAATTCATTGGCTCTAGAATAGCGTAGTCAAGTTTTGATGATAATTGGCCTTCGCGTACACATTCAAGTCACTAGCGACAAAGAGGTTATCCTCAAGCGCCCTACTCAGTGTTGAGAAGCCAATCCCACGTCTTGGTGTTTTGAAGTGGATTTCTTCAGTCCCTGTTTGGGAGCTCTCGTGTAGGAACTTCTTTTTGGATTCGTGCCGTGTATCGGGGGCCAATAACTAGGGTACTCGCTTTAGGTTAGTGGCTCTGGAAATGGTGTAGATATATTATGTTGAAGCAACAATAAAAATAAGGAAGTCTATTTAACCTTTGTTAGTAATTCCCTGGTGAAGTCGTAGTCTTTTGAGCAAGGGTCCATAAAAACCAATAGTATGGCCATAAGGGTGGCGATAATTTATGGTCATCATGTAGGGAACCGGGAAAAATGGTTGATGTTCATAGTAGCCAATATAAAATACGGAAGAAGCTTTTCCGTACTAAAAGCGTCCTAAACGTCCTAACTTGTCCTAATACCTACTGTCATAAATGACGGTATTGGCACGAACCTTCGGCATCGATTCTAGGACATT